CCTTCTAAAGAACCTAACCAGGAACCGATCTTGATTTATAGTAAAAGTATTCAATTTGCTTCAATAGAAATAGTTCAAATTAGCTTCAGTGAAGAGCTTCTTTAGATCTTCAATTTCTGCCTTAACATGACTTCTACATCCTGCTTAGTAAAATAAAGATATTTTCCCGAGGATACAGGAGATTAATTGAACAGAAATTTAAAGATAGATTGTTCAAAAAATTAAAATTAATATAGTTTCAAGCTATTATTTTTCCAGAGTTAGGAAGAAAATGAAAGGCTCTTCTCTTTATGGCCAATTATGCAAGAATGTATAGCTCAGAGCAAAAAAACAATGCTTATAAAAAGCAATTCTCTTCTGAGCTTTACTGAAGAAATCTTTTTTAAAAAATGCTACTTTCAAGCTTATTATTTCTCAACAAAAATGCCAAGTAAGAACATGAAGACACTGGAGGAAAAGTTGACGTTATTTCAAGTATTAGGGCACTCAAACTGAAATCCCACTTTCCCCATTTCCTCCACATTAGTTTGACTTAGATCCATAATAGGGGTTGCCTAAGAGCAAGACATCAAGAGTACTGCTCTGAAAATTCAACATTAATCACAAAACTGTGAATATCCACTATGTGCATAACATTATATACAACATCATTAAAGTAACTTTTTCATTTTGCCAAGAAATAGCACACAGAAAAGTTAGAGGATTTCTATGCTAGAAAAACAAAAGGTCATTTATTAAAAGGATTCAGATGACAGAAAATAAAATACTAAGAGTTAAAAAAAAAAAAAAGAGTAACCTTCACTAATATTCACGTCATGAGATAGCAAGCAAAAATATAACTAGGGGAATGTTAACTTACAAAACTGCCTCAGAGTCAAGAGTCTTATAGCTGAAGCTCTCTTTTAGAAGACTTTCCCATAAAAGTTACAGTAAGAGAACACCGATTTTGTTTTGGAATAACATACAATGGTTACTAATATTAGGCAGACAAATACTGCCTCTTTAAAAAGACATACCTAATTTATACAAAATCTTTGTATTTTAAATATTCTTTTTACCCCTAACCAAGTATCAGTTCACTCAAAACAAAATTTTATCACATTTCCTTTCATTTACCAAGTTTACCAGTGGAAGTAATAGATACCTGAGGAATTCTCAAAATCATACTACTTCAGAGATATCAAGAAAATTAACTTCAACAAATTATGCCACCCTTAGAAAACCCCTCCAACCCCCAGGAGTCAAGTATGTAAGAGCCTATTTCAATTATAATTATTTCAACTATCAATATTAGATTAGACAAGCAGCCTCACTCTTAAATATTTCACTATGCTGGGGGATGGTGGATGCAATAGCAAACATCTCCAATTAAGGAGACTTAAAGGTGTAATTACAGAACAAAGTTATGAATGTATTCCTTTGTTGTAACAAAATATTCTTCCAACATTAAACTCTTTTTTCCATAATTCAGTTACAGAGAAAATCGTATGTTCTAAATTACACAGTGAAAATTTGGAATTCATTTAACGCATAGTTTTTCTTTATGCTTCCAAGAATTAAAATCACAAAGAAAACAATCCTGGGGTTAGCTAAACATTGTACTATATGCTGTTACTGTTTGAAAGAAAATGCTATCTGGATGGAACAGTTGCTTACACACAGGAAGGAACAAAAGTAATCCAGGTTAATGTTTTGGCCTCTCTTCCAGTTCCTTCTTATCCCCATAACATGCACAAATAAACGTGTTCCTCACCGAATATAAGCAAATTTTAGTTGGAAACAACTGTGGATACTCTTCATGTGTGCATACTGCATAAAATATCATTTAGTAATACGAGGCTGAAAATGAACCACAAAATGATTGTTCCAAAACCACAGTTCAATGTACTAATTTTACGATTCAATTTCCGTGTGGCTACCTGAAAAACAGTAATCTATCCATACTGACAGGTCTGTACTACTTTTAGTATCCTTTTTATCAAATGTGTAGTGTATATGCATACATACCACACACACACCACCTTCCCACTCTTCACAGGGCTCTACATTAACATTTGCTCTAATGTGGTGAAGTTTGAAAATATTAAAAATCACAAGCATTTCCACATGACCTTCCAACCTTAATGTTCAAAGCATAAACTTTGGGATTAAGAATGCACATTTCAGTAACCAGCGGCATTTCCAATGATCAAACTTATCCGTGAGGTTAAATTTAATAGTTTGGGAAGAAAATGACAAGTTTTTCCTAAAAGTGAAAGTGGAAAATTTGAATGAAACAGTTCATGCCTCCAAATCAAAAACGTCAAATTTTGTTCATTTACTAAAGTTAGATATAGCAATATGAGCTTTACTGAGGCTGTTAACACAAAGTAAATACATATATCAAATATTTTTATTAACACCACAGTCAAACGTGAATATTAATATAGAGCCTTCTCTGCCAAAAGAGTATAAAAATCCTAAGTTTAAGTAAATTTAGGGGCCTTCACCAAACTTGCTGCAAGTTTGGGGACATAAATATCCAACAGCCATAAAGCTGTGAAAGCCCCTATAAGGAATAAAATAAATCCCACTTGCCTCAGACTGAACAGGGCAACACTGAGACTCAGCCTCAGCCTGTCCTATGGCAGGGCTATAGGAAGAAGAAAATTTTAATTTTAGAAAAACATTACCCAATTAATTTAAAAGACATGCATTAAAAAAAAAATCCCAGTGATCAAGCAAGCAAAGGAAAAAAGAGCAGCTCTTTTTTTAAAAAAAAGCTATTGTCTGCTATAATTCCACTCTGAACCCATACTTAGTTTTGTTGGGGATCTTCCCCCAAATCAATTAAGCTGAGTTTAAGCTCAATATATAACTTGATCAGTGGAACAAGAGTACACAAAGAGTATTTTCCCCATTCCTGATGGAAAATGTGTGAGATTATTACTAAAATATGTAAGTACTCAAATTAAAGGAGAATTCCAGCAGCCACTCAAAAGTCGATCCTCACCTGCTGGTCTTATTCTGTCACACAGTACATAAAATCTACACACAATAGAAACTAGTGCCAGACAAAATGTTAAGTCACTTCTCTTTTTAAAGCAGGATATAGGAGTGGATGTAAGGAAGGGACAGTCAGTCAAAGCTGGTAGTCCCATTAATCGTACAACTTTCTAAATTGTGGCAATCACAATGCCTGCCTGAATGAATACAGTAAGTCCTAAAGGTTTGTCTTCTGTGAGGGTAGTTTACTTCAACTCAACCCCACCTATTATTTAAAGGAAGCATAAGTCAAAGTAAGTTATTTCAACAGGATTTGTTACACTCATGTTTTAACCACATTATGGACCCCAGAAGCAGTTAGGTAAAAGGTATTTTCTAGAAGCTTAATTATGCTGATGCATGCACAAATTACATTATAAGTATACCCAAATGGCACCATTTGAACCACATATATCTAACACAACACAGGAGACAGTGTGCTTAAGTGCCATGCATTAACACTTTGGATCAACTTTTAATTAAACTTCTATCATTTAAAAGTACTGATATTTTCTTCCTTCAAACTTCAGAAAGCAACAAACCTTGGTATAAAATATATCATCTTTGCATTAAATGTAAATAAAACTTTATAGACGTTTTGAAACATTACTAACCCATTTGTATATTGCTGATAAGCCTGTACATGAAATGCTTGAGACGTTTGGTTTGGGAAAACATTTCCTATTTAATCATTCTAAATTTAATCATGCCATTTTTACCTTACAAATTTTCAACATAGGTTCTTCTTTGGCAATATGATAAACGTGCTGACAAATCTAAGGAGTATATATTCATTCCACAATTACTTAGTAGGCAGGTGAGAGAAAAAGTATGGGGCTTCGGGCTGGCAGAAGAAACAAATGCATTCTTGGTGATACATGGATGCTTCCTTTTCAAGCTATGAATTTTTAAACCTCAATGGTACCATAAGAAAAGAACTAGAAGACATTTTCACTGGAGCAAAATGTAGGATTTAAAATACCACTCAGCTTTGTAAATATTTGTAGGTTTTGTTTAAATGAGTAACTTTTACTTGTCACTTAAATACAGACTCTTTTACGATGATTAAAACAGTTTTCAACATTTTCCTATGAGGTTAAAACTTTTTTTCAAAGACAAAAAACTCAGACGTCAGGTCTTATCTGTATCTTCACACATATGTTATAAAGACTTATCGCCATTTTAAATCTTAACTTTACGTTGAGGAAAACTCAACTTGAGTTTTTAATAATTATGCTTTGTTATAGATCATTTAGTACTGCCTTGCAAAAGCAAAAATTTTTTAAAATGGATGCCAAAGAGTCAACAAGAGGTATTATTGTATGAGACTTGCAACACAAGATACTAATAGCAATCACCTCTACAAAAAAGTTCTTCACAGGACATAGTAACATTCAAATTTCCAAGATGAAAAGGTTAACAGGGAAGCCATTTAGGCTAAATAACAGAAGATAACCATCTAATCAAGGAAATAATGTAATTTTCCAGGAACATAATAAAAAATGTTGAATCCATCTGTTAACCGTTCTAACAGGCACATTTAGATTTTTTTTGGCATTACACTTAGAAAAGATTCCAATCCATTAACAGTAAAACAAAAACTATTACTGCATGCACCTAAGCTTCTAGAAGTTTGCACCTGAAAAGCTTCTGAGGTCCACGCAGTACTGCAGTCTCAAAAATACTCAAGGAACTGAATGGGTCTGGCACTAGGCTCTAAACTTCATCAGCAGGAAAGAGGGCACATCAAGGTGTATGTTTTAAATATCTAGGACATCTAGCAGGTAGTGACACCAAGGGCGTGGAAAGGTGACACAACACAAAGATTTCATACCAGGTAATGGCTCATATGTACCTAAGTTCTTCTGTCAACTTAAGCACTAACGTACAAGTCTATACATACTGTCCAGTTTAAAACATGCAGCTAAGGAACAACCTATAATTAAAAGACAGAATCCAATGATTTATCAAAACTGTATTGGGAACTATGAATTTTATTATGTGGACATCTACTGTGGCATGCATCTGTACAAACCTTTCAGGCAGTGGTCCACAGCTGGGTTTTGAATAAAAAGGCATAAGTTTTTCTCTCATTTTATTACAATGAAGTTTAACAGTACAGAAAAGTCACATGACCTTGGTGGGTCAGATTTCTTAAACCCTGCAACATGAGGAACTCTAAATACATTAAATATTGTTATACATTCAGACTTCCAATGTACAGGTCTCGGAAACAGTTACAGCCCTCACCAAGCTAGGTTGGGGACATGAAGTCCAACAGCATCTGAAATGCTGTGAAGGCATAACTTTACAAATAGCAATGTAAGCTTACAGAACTTGCCTTTATTAAGGTGGTATGTTCATGTAATTCCAGCGCCTTCACAATATAACGAACCAAATTTACTATACTTCACTTCTAAAAACCTAGATGAAACATGAAAAAGAAGCCATACAGTATAAATTGCAACTTCAGGAAAAGTTCCTGCTTTATTATTCCAAATAATTTTTCCCATGTAAAATAAATGTCCAATAGTTCCTGGTATGTGGGAAGATAATGTTTGTTAAAGTCACAATGAAGCCTTATTGACGGAAGCTTGGCTATATAAACAGCACAAGTTGAGAAAAGGTTTAATCTCCAAACCTATTAGATTGGATGAAGTAAGATCAGTAACGGCCACCTTGCGACATTACAGGAGGTCTCATTCCCATCGGAGGTCGAGGAGGCCCACCTTGGTAAGGGGGCACCATTGGCGGTCCCTGCCCATACGGTGGCATAGCACCAGGAAGGTAACCTGGCATGCCTTGATGATGACCACCATACTGACCTAAAAAACACATTTAAAACACAAAAAATTGATTGAGTTGGTTTGTGCACTGTACTTTCAAATACAATGTATTTTGCAGAAAAACTTATGTGTATACTCAGAAAATCCACTAAATAAACAAACATAAAAAGAAATACCATGAGGCGGCATTGGGGGTCTCATTCCTTGTTGCTGTGGGATGCCTGGCTGTGGTGGCATCATACCTCCAATAGGACCAACTGGTGGATTACCAATGGGAGCCTGTCCTGGTCGAGGAAGATTACGCTGATATTTAGGTAACTGTGCCCTTCTCTCTTCCTATGAATAAAAATGAACCCAACGTTAATACCTGAATGCAGAGATAGTCACTAAGAATAAAAGGCAAACATCTAAAATCTAAAATCTTACACAGTAACTTAAACTGTACCTTTGTCAACCATTACTTCTGCTCCACAAACCAGCCCAACTACCTAAAATCTCAATGACTGAAGAAAACCTAAGCTATTTTTATATTTGAAGAATAGCTAGTAACTTTTCAGGAAATACACACTTGCCTCAGCAAAAAAGGGTCTAGTGAGAAAGGTAGGTAAGTTTCAAAGGATCTGTAGATTCTAGCTCACACTTAACTGTTTCTTTGATTTACAAATTTATGTGTAACTGAAATGACTTTTGACAGTAAGAACCCAAATTAGTGTCTTCTTTAAGAAACAGTCTGGGAGTAGGAGGAGTGTGTCTAAGATCAAAACATTCACACATGCAATATTTATCTTGGGGATTTTAGAAATCAGAATGATAAAAAATACAGAGTAAGCATTAAATCAGATTATAAGATGGGGCGCTTGGGTGGCTCAGATGGTTAAGCATCTGACTGGCTCAGGTCATTATCTAACGGTTTGTGGGTTCAAGACCCACATCAGGCTCTGTGCTGACAGCTGAGCCTGGAGCCTGCTTCAGATTCTATGTCTCCCTCTCTCTCTGTCCCTCTCCTGCTCACGCTGTCTCTCAAAAAATAAATAAAAAATATAGAAATCAGATTATAAGACCATCAGTGTACAAATCAACACTTCTCAAGAGGAAGACAAACTGCTACAACAGTATCCAAACTATGCTAGTAAAAACCTGTAAAAAACTTACCAGTGATATATCCTCATCTGGATGGATCAACTTACTGGTTGCACTGGTTGTTGTGAGTGTGGCAGGCTTACTTGTTATTGAAGCCGCTGGTTTCGCTGCAGTGCTATTTGTTGTACTAGTGGTTGAAGCTGTAGACTGTGTATAAGCAGGGAATGTAGGCTTTGGGGGTTCTGTAGTTGTTGCAGGGGTACTATTTAAGGGCTTGAAATCTGTACCGACAGGTCCTTGGACAGCTGCCTGAGCCTGTAAAAATAAAATCTGTCATTAATGAAACTTCAAAACCCAAAATTGAGTTCATCTACTATAATTAACTTCAAAGTGAGACACGAACATTCAAAAAGGACTAAACTTTAAATGAAATTAAAACAAAGTTAATATAATAAGAACTCCACAAAAATCAAGATAACATATAAGAACATCTAAAGATGCTGGGTCAAAGTCACATCCGAAACTCAGCAGCAGAGATAAAAAAGACTGCATATGTAACTTCTAAGAGTTTATCTACCTACTCACCAAAATTTGCTTTACAAAGCTTTGTTTTTACTTCAGACTGATGAAATACACTGTATCACAATAGCATGTTCTACTGTTACTATTCTAAATTAGTTGTTTAATCAATCTACCAAGCAGCTCAAAAAAAAAAGTTCAGAAATGATAGAATACAAATGTTGCATAAACTGTATCAGTGATGACATATTAAAGATGTCCTTTGGAAATATTCTTTATATAGATAATACAATGTCCTCCCACTTAACAATGACTAAATGATTATCATGGACAAAAGGGTTTAGTAGGATCTCTTAAGCATAAAGTTACCAGTAATAAATAGGTTACTTTTCATAATACCAAACATCTGAAACATGAAGACTAGGCCAACTTTAGAACCAAATGCAGAGTACTAAATTTCCTTACATTATATGTGATGCATTAGATTAAACAGCATAAATCAAAAAAGCTTAATCATGCATCAGGCTAACCATTGGCCACTATTATGCATTTACTGCTTACATGCTTTTAACCCTTTAGAACCACAGGAGTTTGGGGTACATTTTTTTCTATTAGTAGGAGTTCAAATTTTCAAATACCATCGACTTTTATACCATTAACTTTACTTAAATAAAATTAAACATCGTATATTTTTCAGAAAATATTTAGTTTTAAATTAGGGTCCAAAGGGTTAAGTTTATAAAGCCATTTTAACAAGTTTAAACTGCAACTTCCTGCGTACTTGTGCTGTGCTAGGAAACAGAGCTTTAGAAGATGCAGACAGACTTTCTGAATTGGATGAAGCTGTACTTGAGCTTGTTACAGGTGTCCCCATCTGTAGCATAAAAGAAAGGAAACAATGAAAAGTCTCCAAACAAATGGGTGAAAATAAGCCATGTGGTAGACTTTTTTTTATTATAGATTGCATTTTTATAAATGCAAAATGTAATGCAATCAAATCTGATTTATTCAAAGAGGCAGGCAGTTAATGCATTTACAATAAACAGTGACAGTATGAGCCTCATAAAATTTTTAAAAATTCTACACCAATAAACCTAGTCATTAACCAGTTTCTTTTCTAAAACTGGATGTGTTCTGCACTGATATTTCAAAAATGATACCTTCAATTGAGACTAAAGATGCATTACTACTGACACTTCAATCCAATTCTCTATCAATGATTTTTGTTAGAAGTTTGACATTTCTCAATAAACAAAATCTCCACCCCCCTCTAAACGTAAGTTAATGTGTTTTAAGGGGACTTAAAAAGTAACACTTATACTTTTAATTAACTATAAACAAAAAACTGAGAAAAGAAAACCTCTACAGGATAATGTTAAAGTGGAAAAAAAAAAAAAGAACATACATCCTGATCTTAATTCTAATCAATTAAATACATCTGCTTAATTTTGAATATAACTTGGGGGAAAAAGCACAAAAGTAACCACCATTATACACTTACTATATATAATAAAGGTATCTTTAGCTTCTGAGTTCTGAATAAAGACAAGACTAGGAGGAAAGAGAAGTCTAACTAACTAGGTCAAATGACGCCCTTCCTGAAAAAGCGCAGCACTGTAGTCTGTCACTGTTCTACATTAAAGAGTCCAACAAATGATTTGCTAAGGTCTTAGGATTTTCACCTCTGACTTTGATTTCATTCCATTCATAGTTCAAGATGTGAAGGAAGACCTCCAAACGCTATTATGTATTTACGTCCCCAGAAACTAAACTCTCATTTCTAACTAAAGCTAAGAATAACCAGACTTCACAGCTATGAAAACAAAAAAACATGCTACACTATCTGGCTCCAATCTTTTCTGAGGAAATCAACGTGTGCAAACATGGAAGAGAATAGGACACTTCTTTGTATCTAATTAATTGTACGAAAATGTTTATACACAAAATATTGACCTATAACAATTTAAAAAATTTCTATAAACGACTACACTTTACCTTTAAATGTAAGTGCACTCCTTTCAGGAATTTCACCTTACCTGTCCGGCACTGGGGAAAAGAGGCTTAGTAACTGGAGGCTGTGGAGCAGGAACTGTTGCTGTCGGTGCAGGTGGTCTATTAAGAATGCCTGGAGCTGAAACAGCCTGTGCTTGAGTCATTGGAGGAATTCCAGGCCGAGGAACAGGAGGGGGCATACCTATAAAGACGAAATATTGGAAGAAAGGGAGTTGTTTGATCTCACGGTTCATGGGTTCGAGCCCCACGTCGGGCTCTGTGCTGAGAGCCAGCTCAGAGTCTGGAGCCTGCTTCGAATTGTGTCTCCCTCTCTCTGACCCTCCTCTGCTCACACTGTCTCTCTCAGAAATAGATAAAAGATTAAAAAAATAATAAAAATAAAAAATAATTCAATGTTACTGATGAACTGCTCAATTCAACGAAGTCCAAATAACTTAGGCATTTGCCCCTGAACAATCTTGCCTCAACCTTTCTATTCTTTTGTATCTCTTCAGAATTTTGGAAAGTGAAAGATACAACTACAGACTCTTTGTACAGGGAAAATAGCAATTAAGTTACTAATATTCCTGATTTAGCAAACTTTTGAAACACGTAAGAGAACTATTTTGATCATCCGACTACTGGATGTCCTCTAAACTCTAAATCAAATTATTGTAAAAACTCTGAATAGGTCATATACTCATGTAATTTTTTTTCAGAAAACTAAGTTATTCCTGCAAACACTTTTAACTTCACATTATCAATGTGGTTATTATTCTGCATTCCTTTAAAGGCCTGAAATTCTTTCAGAACCTATGTGGAGCTACCACCTATAAATTAATGCCTGTACTGACAATAACGCACATTTTGTCGCTGCCTTATTTTTCCTGTCCCTTTTACATCAACTATCTCTTGAGCACTTCTTAATCTGCTATGGTCTGCACACCAAACTTGCTAGGATTACATATAACAAACAAGGCAACCAAGAAAGCCTCATGAAGGTCTCTGTGGCACATGTACTTGGCTAACAAAATTTCATTCTCCACATTCCAGGATACAAAGACAAGATAGTTTTTAACACAGATTCCCTTTCAGCTAAAGAGTCTATTAGATCTATTTGTGGTCAACTGTAAGAGGCTACGGAGCTTGTGGGAGAGTTACTTTGCTCCCTAATGAAAAAAAGATGGGGTGCCTCAGTCGGTTAAGTGTCCAACTCTTGACTTCGGCTCAAGTCATCCATCATCTTACAGGCAGGAGATCAAGCCCCACGTCAAGCTCTGTGAGGACAGTGCAGAGCCTGCTTAGGATTCTCTCCCTGTCACTTCCTGGGTTGCTCATGCACACACGCACTCTCAAAATAAACTTAAAACAAGAGAGTGTCCACTGTTGTTGACATCCTTCCTTGCCTGCGTTATTTTGTAACAACTGAGTGACGTGTCCCAGGGAGAAAAGCTAAGGTTGGCAGAGGAGAAAATTTTGAACACATGAGTTCTTGATATCACCAGCCACTGAATCTACCACTTTTCTTTTCGTTGAGGCCATAAATGCCTAAACTGTTTAATACAGTTTGTTAGGTTTCTCTATTATTTTCTAAAAGACTCTCCATTACTCATCTAAAAAAATTCCTAACAAATACAACCCCATTTAGGTGTATGAGCTTCAGTGCATAGGTTCTGTGACTCATTCTGTCTGCTTTGAAACCGGTTTACTATTTCAAAACTCAAAAAAAAAAAAAAAAAAAAAAGCATAAATACTAACACTTCCCCAATTTAAAAAAGAACTCACCAACCTAAGGAAAATTTAATATTAAAATTCCACCAATGTCCACAAACCTGCTGTCCAAAATACTTAAGAATAAAGCATGCCAATAGCACTGCTAGGAATTTACCCAAGGGATACAGAAATGCTGATGCATAGGAGCACATGTACCCCAATGTTCATAGCAGCACTCTCCACAATAGCTAAAACATGGAAAGAGCCTAAGTGTCCATCAACGGATGAATGGATCAAGATGTGGTTTATCTATACCATGGAATACTACATGGCAATGAGAAACAATGAAATCTGGCCATGTGTAGCAACATGGATGGACCTTGAGGGTGTTATGCTGAGCGAAATAAGTCAGGCAGAGAAGGACAAATATCATATGTTTGCACGTTTAGGAGGATTAGGAGGAACTTAACAGAGGACCAAGGGGGAGAAGAAGGGCGGAAATGGTGGGGGAAAGGGAGAGAGGCAAACCATGAGAGACTCTTGAATGCTGACAAAAACTGAGGACTGATGGATGTGGGGGGGAGGAGGGATGGGCATGGAGGAGAACACTAGTGGGGATGAGCACTGAGTGTTATGTGGAAACTAATTTGACAATAAACTATTTGTAAAAAAAAAAAAAAAGAATAAAGCATGCCAATCCTATTAAAAAAGCTATTATCTAACATTGCATACCTGGTGGCATACCAGGCATCAGAGGTGGTATTCCTGGTCCAGGTGGCATCATTCCACCCATTGGCATCATTCTGTTAGAAAGCAAATTTCAAGAAACAAACCAAGTTAATCAACAGTATAAACCATTAGAAAACATTTTGGCTAAAGCCTGAAACAACAGATAAAAGACCTGAATTTGACCCCTAATATTGAAAATCAAGCTGAAAGAACACACAAGGCTAAAACAATTCTATCAAAGTAAGTCTTCTAAAAACCAGCAAACTCTTGGGTTTACCAGTAAAATAAGAGGGGTTGGGGGGAATCAGTATTGTTTACCAAACATTTTCATACATTTAAAGTCATTAAGAACAATGATACCCTCAATATATACAAGAGGCCTCATCTAAAATATGTGTAATCAGAAATCATATTCACCTTTTGTCTCATTTGGAAAATACCCACACAATATAAAAAGAAAAGCTATTTTAGAGTCGTTATATTTTTCAAAAGGAAATATACACTGTGGAGTAAAGTTTTGGGGGAGGGTTATAAAAGAACTCTCACCAAAATTAAAGACAGTCAAAAGTAAACTCACACAACTGCCTCATTTCTAACAGCTACCTAACACTAAACCATGACTAAAAACAACCCATATTTATTTTCCCTCCCTTAAAAGAGCTCACCTTCAAATATCAGTGTCCATTCATTTAAAACATTTACAAGTTTGTGAATTCTTATTTGAGGACTTTATCAGAAAAATAACTTCTATATATAGATATCATTACAAGAAGCCCAAAATACCTTCTATAATAAAGCATGTTAATTTGGCAAAAGAGTTATCTATTCTTTCTTAAATACCAACACTTTTTACTAAATTCCATTACTTTAGTAATCTGGAGGAAAACAGCTGCACATATAGAAAATGCTTTATTTATATGGGTCTATTACTAGTTCCTCACAGACGTCTTTTTTTTCCCTCCATTAAGAGACTTTGTGTCAACCAGCTTGCACATTCTAGAAGTTTTAGTGAGGAAGGTTAGAAAATTTCTGAAGTCAACTGAATAGATACCATTAAACACACAAAAAAAATGACATTATGATTATACCTCCTGAATTACATTATGAATGAGATGCTTACATGTTTTCACCGCAAAATGACTGGGTGTATTTTCTCTGATGATGCAATCTGTGAAAATGTATGACAAAATCAAAATCTAACTGTGATTTTCAAAATACAGTGGGAAAGTGTATTGTATACCTCTCACATCCAACAATATTTAAGTAAAAGTGATAGGCACGAGCACCTCATATTCATTTTAGTTCTTGAGGATTTGACAAATAAATCATTTACAGAGTCTGCTTCTTGTCACAACTACAAAGTGTCCTGGACAGTTCTGATCTCAGAAACACAAATCAACAACAAACAACTACTTTAATTACATCAAATGCAATTAAAGTAGATGGCTGCCTACACACATCCTAAAACCCAAAACTCTATATTCTCTCCAGAGGCAAATTTATGTTCCTTAAATTTATTGGTAGACCCCTTTTTTTAGACAAATTTAAGTTTATGGATCCCATTAGAAGCCGGGGGGAAAGAAAAAAGGCAAAGGAACATTTTAAAATCCATGTAACACCCAAGTTGAAAAGATTATTACTAGGCATAAGCCCACAAATCAATTACAAGTTTTCTTACCCAGGTGGCATGCCTGGCATAACCGGTGGCATTCCTGGCATCAGAGGAGGCACACCCGGCATTAATGGAGGTATGCCTATAAACAAAAATTTCAACACAAAAAGTCACAAATATTAAGGAGTTAAGAGAAAAATTTTTAATATCCTACAGCATATCATCAAAGTCCTAAGAATGTCAAATTGTAACCCTTATGTGATACCTGGAGGCATTCCAGGTGCCCCCGGCACTGGTGGCAGTCCTGGCTGTGCCATTGGAGGGATATAACCTTGTTGAGGCTGAACAGGCTGTGGCTGAAATGAAGTTGAAGCTGCAGAGTCATCATCATCATACTCATCAGAATCATCTTGTTGCTTCTTTTTTTGACTCTCTGCTAAAAAAAGTTCCAATTAATTTTTCCCATAAAGTGAGAAAAAAGAAAAACTAGGCAAGCTTAAGACATTCAACATTAAAAAAGTTTCAGTACAATTAGCTCATGAAATTTTTCTTGCAAAGAAATTCAGTCAATGCTATTCTTTTTACTCTTCAAATGTATTTTCAACGTCTATGAAGGTTAACGTCCTTTTTCTTTTTTTTTTTTTTTTAAATATTTTTATTTATTTCTAGGAGAGAGAGAGACAGCGTGAGCAGGGGAGGGTCAGAGAGAGAGGGAGTTATAGACTGACACAGGCTCCAGGCTCTGAGCTGGCAGTCAGCACAGAGCCCGACGCGGGGCTCGAACCCACGAGCCGCGAGATCATGACCTAAGCAAAAGTCGGATGCTTAACTGACTAAGCCACCCAGGCACCCCTTAACATCCTTTCCATATCTGTGACAGGTACAAATGATTTTCCTTAAGGGGCGCCCTTAAGTGTAGGACTTGTCCTACACTTACGACCTTTGTCTCAGGTCATAATCTTGCAGTTCAGGAGTTTGAGCCCCATGTCGTGCTCCGTGCTCATGGTGCAGTGCCTGCTTCCAATCTGTGCCCCTCCCCTGCTTGTGCTCTTTCTTAAAAGAAATAAATTAACTTTAAATAATTTTCCTCAGGGGCGCCTGGGTGGCTTAGTCAGTTAAGCGTCCGACTTTCGCTTAGGTCATGATCTCGCGGCTCGTGGGTTCGAGCCCCGCGTCGGGCTCTGTGCTGACTGCCAGCTCAGAGCCTGGAGCCGTTTCAGTCTGTGACTCCCTCTCTCTCTGACCCTCCCCTGCTCACGCTCTCTCTCTCTCTCTCTCTCCTAGAAATAAACATTAAAAAAAAAAATTTTTTTTAAAAACTATTCTTTAAAAATAAATAATTTTCCTCAGTTTTATTTAAAAAAAAAAAAACACAAAAACAGCTTCCTATTTCATCTCAAAAGGTAAACTATGAGAAAAAGGTCTGAGCTTTCTACAATGCTTTTCTTTTCCTTTTTAAAAAAATTTTTTATGTTTATATACTTTTTCTTTTTTTTTTTTTACAATATGTTTATATACTTTTGAGAGCAGAGAGACATAGCACGATTGAGGGAAGGCAGAGAGAGAGGACGACAGAATGCAAAGCAGGCTCTGGTCTCTGAGAGGTCAGCACAGAGCCCAACACGGGGCTCCAACCCACAAACCAAGAGATCATGACCTGAGCTGAAGTCAGACGCTTAACCGACTGAGCCACCCAGGCACCCATGCAATGCTTTTGAAAACAAGAACTTTCAAGGCACTTAGCTTGCTCAGTCAATAGAGCATTTGACTCTTGATCTCAGGGCTGTGAGTTCAAGCTTTACACTGGGTACAGAGCTTACTTAAAAAAAAATTTTTTTTCATAAGTGATTAATAACTTCTACCATCTGGATAATAAGTGATTGCAAATTCCAAGTAACAGCATTACCAAAAAATTTACTATTAGTTGTTATATAATCAAATCAGAACAAGCTACCTTCATTTTCAGAAACCTCAACACTTGCTAATTCCACTTGGAATGCAGTTATGAACAAAACTATATTAAAGTGTTTGGAATAATGCATGTGGTGTTACTTATATACAAATCCAAACTTATACACAACTCCAAACATTAAGACATAAGAAAATAATAAAACTCAGGGTGCCTGGGTACCTTAGTTGGTTGAACAGTCAAATCTTGGTTCTAGCACAGATAACGATCTGTTTCATGGGTTTGAGACACACACGGGACTGCACTGACATCATGGAGCCTGCTTGGGATTCCCTCTCCTCTCTCTGCCCCTCCCCCACTTGCGGGGTCTTTCTTTGCTCTCAAAATAATAAACTTAAAAAAAATAGGAGTGTTGGTGTCTAAGTTGGTTAAGAGCCAATTCTTGATTTCAGGTCAGGCCATAATCTCAGTGAGTTCTCTCTGCCACCCCCCTACTCACTAACATGTTCACTCTCTCAAATGAGTATTTTTTAAAAACCCTCAAAATTGGAATTTTGAATAAATCTAACATCCATTATTAAATTTGTACTTTAAAGTAGTAGTAATACACTCATTAGTGAAGCTGTATTAAGAAAAAGCATACATTTTAATGTTTACCTTGTGTTTTCTGTTCAAGAAGTCGTCTTCTTTCATCCATGTCTTTTTCTGGAATACCTTCCATACCATATATTTCCAATTCTATATCTGTTCTCCCAGGTATTGCATTTGGTACAGCATCTATTGTCTCTTTATGCACCTAACGTTAAAACAAACTTCCATTAGATCAATTAAAGTGTCTCATAAAGTCCTTTAAGAGCAATCTGAAATTACTGGGAAAACACTTAGTATAATCATTAAGAATAACTGGTTTTGTAGTGAGACTATCTGGATTCAATCCCCAGTTTTGCCACTTACTAACTAGGAATCTGAGACTAAGCAAATCAATTGACTTAAGATTACACCACCTAGGGGAACCTGGGTGGCTCAGTCAGTTAAGTGTCTGACTTCAGCTCAGGTCATGATCTCAGGGTCCATGAATTTGAGCCATGCATCGGGCTCTATACTGATAGCTCGGAGCCTGGAGCCTGCTTTATATTCTGTGTCTCCCTCTCTCTCTGCCTCTCCACTTATCCTCAGTCTCTCTCTGTCTCAAATATAAATAAACACTAAAAAAAAAAAAAAATTAAAAAAAGATTACATCACCTATATACTACCTAACATCTAGGATCATTTTTAGGATTAAATGCATTAAATTATATATTTACATACTTATATATATTATATACATACAAATATACTAAAATTACAGGTATTAAATTATATATGTTAAGTAAAACATAGTGAATACAGAAACTACTTGGCAGGATGTCTAACATAGCAAGGGCACAATAAACACTAAGTTTACCACATAATCTTGCTTGCTTGAATTATCAGCAATGAACTGGCAGTTCCGCTCAAATCAGAGAAGGTTCAAGTTTGACTTAAGCTTATGAAAGTGTTTATTATATGAAGAATTAAAATAAAAATTCCAAGAATGATCTTGAGACCAGCCTGTAGTTAACACTTAACACTGCCACAGGACTGACTCTGTCATTATGCTAAATTTGGTAGATTACAAAGGGAAAAGACTTTTTATTATGAAACACTGGAAATATATATAATTTCTTTAATGATGGTTTTTGCTAGATCAAATGTTTCTAACCCCCAAACATGGGTAACTTCTGCCATTAAGGTAAAATTCCTGTCAGTCTTTGGTTTCTTCAGCAACTTGCTTAATTAACTTAGGCTAAAAATGACAATGCACTTTGCCAAGATGATCAGCATCACCTGGAACCTCATTAGAAATGCAAATTCTCAGGACCACCCCCCCCCCCAGCCCCCCTCCCAAGGCCCCCAGCAGAAACTCTTGGTTAAGATTAACAATCGGTCTCAAGAGCCATGCAAGTGATTCGGAGACAAGCCCAAGCTGGAGAACCACTGCTTTAGGACACATATTTGTCCAATATTCAATTTCTCTCTCCTGCCAAGACATTTTCATGCAAGAATAAAAAATTAAAGAAAACTGTTTTCTTAGACATATATCTCAAAGACTTTAAACAGTGACATGTAAACGAAATTCAGAAATTATCTTAATTTTTGATTAATCTTTAACCAGTTTCTTATTGTGATTAAAAGATCAATGAATAAAGCTTCTCAACAAGCGACTTAATCACCCCAGTTCCTAAGTTTTTTGGCATGTTACTGTTCTTGACAAATGAAGATGAAGTAACTCACATGTTCCTCAAGGAAATAAAATTATATTCGTACATTTACTATTCTGTTATATTCTAAATGGTAAGAGCAAGAATATACTAATCAAAAGCTGTTGGAAAGAGAAGAAAAATAACATGACTTACTCAACTACCTCACAATATCCTAGCCAGAATTAAATTTCTTAAAACCTGCCTAGTAGAAATTATTATTATGATCTTAGTTGAAAAGATAGGCAGAGCATGCACTGATGTTAACCATCTAAATTACTAATGTCCTAGGTTTATTATCCATAAAATTGGAGGACCTGTCTGAGATAACTGCCATGCCCATTTCACAAGTTACTGTGAAATGACACCAAAACCATAAAAAAGGAAGCAGTTAGTCAATTAAAAGATGTTACTAAAATAGTTTCTCAACTAATCTTCCAGTTCCATTCCATTTCTGTTCTTCTCTAGTACAACTTCTTGAAAGATTGCCTCTATTTTCTCTTAGAAGTACTCCAATCAGGCTTTCATCCTCATCACTCTAGGCAAGTGACCAATGACCTCCACTTTGAGTAATTCAGTCTCTGTCATCATCACCTGCATTTGACTGTTAAATAACTCCTTTAATCTTCTCATTTGGTTTCCAGGGCACTAACTCTCTTGGATTTCCTACCTTTTCAATGTCATCAAATGCATTCTTTTAATCTAACATTTAAATACTGGGAGTGGCCTAAACTGGAGTCCTTGCACCTCTTCTGTACCTATATTCTACTCTCTAAGCTAAGAGAAAAGGACATCTAGTATCATAGATTAAAACAGCCATCCCTCCAAATTTCTATCTCCAGCTCCAACCTCTCTGAACTCCAGGCTTATAGATACAACTGCTTATGTGACATTTCCAACTAGATAGTCAACAGACCATCTCAAAATCAACAACACAACCTTGACATCCTCATCTCTAAGCCTAGTCTTCCTGCAGTTTTCAACATTTTAATATATGCTCAGTTCTCACACTCCTCAGGCCAAAAACCTTCAGATCAATCTGCATCTACTCTATCAGCAAATTCTGGTCTCTGTCACCATCACCTCTTGCCCGGAATACTCCAGTCATCCTAAGTGTTCTCACTGCATTCTGCAATCTATTCACAACTCTATGCCAGGAGAATCCTTATTTAAAAAAAAAAAAAAAAGGTACCAGAACATGCTGTACCTGTATTCAACCTTGCATTTCATTCAGAATGAAAGAAAATGGTCTACAACAAGTAAGCCCTTCTATATAAAGCACATTGCTACCCTTTCCTTTTCTTCAATATAGGAGAATGCTCCTAAATGTAAGGGTCTGTCAACTGCTGTTCTCTGGAAGTTCTCTTTCATGTCCTTTCAGATCTGTTCAGATGTCAGCTTCTCATTCAGGCCTTTCCTATCTTGTGGCCCTCCCTATCCCTCTTACCTAGTTTTAGTTTTCTCTATCACTTACACTGGAAAGGCAAACTAAATATTGTGGTTTGTTTTCTTCCACAATATAAATCTAAACTCCATGACGGTGACTTTGTTTCCTCCAAAGCTGTACACCTAGTGCCTATAACACTTGCCTAGCACAATGCCGTCTCGCAGAAATTTTCTGCGGTAAACATTCTTTCTGTATCTGTATCCAATACAAGTCATTCATCAGCCACATGTGACTGAGCACTGGAAATGTGGCTACAATGTGGAGAAATTAAAATTTTTTTAAGTTTTCTTGTAAGTAGTCACATGTAGCTAGTGATTTCCACAGTGGAAAGTTACGGATCTAGCACATTGCAGGCTCTAAAATATTTCTGAATGGGTATTAAGTTGTTATTAGAGTGCTATAATTGGAGTGAAGAGGATCTATATAAATTATTTTTTATATAAACTTAATTTTTAAACTTGGGGAAACATTTTAATTTACCTCCCTGCCTCCTACCAACAGTAGTTTCCAATGAATAAAGATTTGCTCATCTCACATCTCTCTAGGGTCCAATTATGCAAAAATTCAGGCAGCTCTAGGATTGGCAAAAGTAGAAGAAATAATGTTGAATAAGACATAAAGGCATGTACTAGATCTTTAAAAACAAATTGCAAGGCTCTCCCTACCTAAGTAGTGAAAAAACTGAAGAAACCCAGAAATCATCAAATGAAACACAACGTTACCATTCCACAAGAGATTCAAGGAATAACTAAAGTAAGCCTATCCTCAGGCAAGAGATTGTAACAAATCCTTCAACAGCAGAGAGTAATGGTAGCTAATTATGTATTCTCATGGGATTAGAACTGGTCAGCCCAACCACAAAGATTAAATCCCTGATCTTTGTTCTCTAACCCAAGTAACAGATAGTCTGGGACCTCAACTTGTCTCCAATCTAAGAGTAAAAAATATTATCAATAACTTTAAGATAAACACTATGAACAGAAGTTTTCTTCATTAAAAAAATCAATTATTTAACTTAACTTTAAAAAAAGTTTTAAAATGAATGACCAGATCTGATCTTTCACAATAGACAAAACCCTACAACTGTTAAAAGAAATTCAAAATTTTTTTCTCATGTTGTTTCCAAACAAGGAAGTAAAAGTTAAATACAGAAAAAAATATCCTTACCTGCATGCAATGAATAGCTAAGCCAGGTCCTGTGTACAATTTCTTATGACATATATGGCATTTGAAATGTTTTGCTTTTTGGTGCTGTATAAGGATCTTCTCATCATCAAAATCTCTATTACAATACCTGATCCATATTGTTAAGGAACAAAAATAGCACAATAATGACACTGCCTATTTTTAAAAAATCTTCTCATATTAAGGAATAGGAAGAATAACATTAAAATATGAGAACAGTTAAAATCAAAAAGGTACTTTATATATACCTTGTTTTTGATATTATGCAATTCAGAATTAACTTGACACGTAATTTTACTCTTTTAAGTTTCCTATATACCATCTCTAAATGAACACATCTCAGTAACCAGCAAGAGAGCTTTGTCCAATCCCTGCATTTAACAAAGATTTAAGTAAAACTAACTTTTCTTTGGTTCAATATTTCAACATTTATAAATGAACCCTGTGGACTAGACAGTTCAATGTTAAAAAAAATCCCCAAGTTTAGGTCAAGAATTAATTTCAAAACAACTCATTAACTAGAAAACAAAAACAATCAAAATATTAAAAATCCAACTAATATCTGGGATTTAGGAATATTTATTTTATTTAGATCCAAAAATAAGCTCACACTGAATAAGAAGAGACATAATTTCGTATGAATAATCCACAAGGTTGTTTGCAACTTCTTACGAATTTGTAGCCATGGAATGTATCTACACTCACAGATAAGTTACATCAATAAAAGTGAGAAATTTTCGCTCACGGGGCAGTCTTAGTTAAAAGCTCATTAAGGAAATTAGTGACCGTTTTTCAACTGGTATATAAATAAATGCAGTTCCCTAATCGTTTTTAGAAGTAAAATCAATTATAACGTAAAGTAGATTAGCGCTTCCCGAAAAAAGTATTAGAAAGACGCCACGTTTTAGTAAAGAATAATAAGTATTTTTTTTTCTAGTCTTACGAAGCTAGGTAATAGATAAAAGAAACTCCACCCATTACGCTTCTTGAAGATTAAGGCGCCAGCGGGTAGGACACGGAAGCTAGTTCTTCTCACCCCCACTCACCCACCCCCGGCAAAAAAAAAAAAAGGGGGGGGGAGGCTCGAAACCTTGGTTGACCAACACACGCCTTTCCTAAACCACCGATTCTACAATAAAACGGAAAAGTGGGTGACACACTCCGGAAGCTCTTCCCTAACCCTCCAGAGTCAATCAGCATATTATACTCGGAGAAAGACCCTTTGTTGAATCGTCACCAAAACAACAGAATGTGGCACAATATCCTTAGGGGACACTGTCCTTGGTGGAGGGGTCCAAGCCGCCTCCCAGTGGTTAGGTCAACGCTCGCACTAAAGCAGGAACCTCCTGAGTCACGGAGCCCACGATCTACAACTGCCAGAGCGTCTCGCCCTAGGAACTTCATTTCCCGCGAAGCCTTCCCAAATCCGGCTCCGGCCACCAAGCCACCCACCTCGAGGCCTAGATCCCAGACACTCTGCCACAGGCCAAAGCAAGGCCTCCCGGTCCCAGTCACCACCAACCGGCGCCCCCGCTCGGCCTAGACTTCAAACCCACAAAGGATATCAGCACCACGGCTTCAGCTGCTTCTTCTTCTTGCGACCCATAACTGCGCTCTACCGACAAAGTGAAGGGGGGAGAAAACAAACAGGAAAAACGAGGCAAAAATGGCTCACTCTTTCGACCCAACGGCCACCACCGCGTCCCACAGGAAACAGACACAAAATGGCCGACGCCCTCGTTCGCCGCTCTGCTCCCGTCAGGCACTGCGGCCGGAGGCGGTGCCAGGCAGGGAAGGGTCACATGACGCAGGCCTCCTCCCTGAGTGGGTGGAGACTCGTGGCGGCTGACGGGCGGCCGCCATCTTGTCCGCGTACGGCGTCCCGGCCCTCTTTGCTTGTACTTGCGGATCTCTGGTTTCCTTTGTGAGGGAGCTGGCGTCCGAGGTGCACCGACACACTCGCGAAATGAAGGGGGCGGGGAGGGGTGGGGGGAGGACCCGGAACGATTACCAGCGTAATTAGGGGCAGACTACAAATAAAGAATAATGAGACGGCGCCCAGTTTTAATTTTGGTTCGTTACCCGGATTAATCCTTTCTGTACTAAGTGTTGGGCATTTGCCTGCTAAGTCAAAGAAGTCGCAGTCTCTGCCTGGTGACTTACGGAGTGGTGGCAGATGAGGAAACGAGGCAGTGTGGTCAGCGCAGTGATGGGGGAAATACACGCGACTGCAGACCAGAAGGGGAACACACCAACGGGGCCTCGGAGGCCACGGGGACGTCAAGAAAGGTTTTCTGAGCTGAAAAGTTGACGGGAGCAAGGGAGGTGGAGGAGAGAGGATCACACTGAGAGAGCAAAATGTGCAAGTCTTTGAGGCTTAGCGCCTGAAACACACTAGCGGTACGAGGGCTGGAGCTTACAGTGGTGGGGCTGGTGGCAAGAGATTATCTCAGGGAGGGGCGCCTGGGTGGCTCAGTCGGTTAAACGTCCCACTTCGGCTCAGGGCATGATCGCCCGGTTCTGGATTCGAGCCCCGCGTTGGGCTCTGTGCTGACAGCTCAGAGCCTGGATGGAGCCTGCTTCAGATTCTGTGTCTCCCTCTCTCACCTCTCACCCTCCCCTGCTCACGCTGTCTCTCTTCCTCTCTCTCTCAGAAATAAATAAAAACATTAAAAAAAAACATTAAAAAAATAAATAATAAAAGATTATCCTAGGGAGAAAAAACGGAATCCAGGCTGGAAAGGAAGAAGTAAAACCGTAATCACAGATCGCATGATTTTGTTATGGGCTGAACTTCACCCTCAAAGAAAAATTAGTAAGTCCTAACCCCCAGTGCCTTTGAGCGGTGAGCAAGCTGCCACTCGAATAGAGGAAAACAGACGATAAATACATGTCAGGAGTGATAGCTGTACTGAAGAATTAAACAGTATGAGGGGACACGGTAGAGACTGATGGGTTGACAGCAGAGGTTCATGTGGGATATTTTGTACAGGACATTTTCTGTCTCAGGAGCCTGCATTTGTGCGACAAGTGAATAATGGGGGGGGGGGGTGGACAGGCAGAGAGAAGAGCAAATTCAAAGACTGTTACACTGGAGGGAAAAATTGAAATGTTTGAGAAACACAGGAAATGTGACCAGGACAGAGTGAGCAAGGAGAGAGTGATAGGAAATGAAGACGAGGGTGGGGGGTGGATAGAGGCTAAATGATGAAAGCCTCTGTGTATCACACAATCAGAGCCCTTTCCTTAGGGTTGTTTCTAAGACCTGAGCCGGAGAGTACGATATAAAATAGTAGTTAAGATTATAGCTTGATCACTTATATTGACTAAGCCTCCATTTTCGTCTCGTCTATAAAATGAGGATAAACCCCTCTGTTACAGAGTCTGTGCAAGGATAAATGAAATAAAACAGGTAAGTAACCTGGCCCATGGTTACTGCGAACTAAATGACAACTATTAAAGTACAAATGCTATATTCATATGACTATTGCTGTTGGCCTGTTGGCAGTTGATAGACCCAACTTGCAAAAACTAATGTCCTCAGATTATGTTCCTAGATGGTTGGTAAGAAGCCAGAAATGAGATTCCATAAGATCACCTGTCTACATTACTTTCTCGGCAGTAATCACATTCTGCCCTTCCCGTGTGCATGCCTTTTCTCCTTCAGTTGTGTTGTACCAGGACAAAAACTTAAATATTGGATTGTCTTTCTATACAAGCACATATTCGAATTCATTCTTTTTGGTAGCTACATAATCTTCTAGGACATATGTATTTTCTCCTGCTATAACAAATTAATCACAAATTAGTGGCTAAAACAATACAGATTTATTATATTGCGGATCTGGAGGTAGAAGTTTGAAATGTAGGGGCACCTGGGTGGCACAGTTAAAGCGTTGAACTCTCAGGGTTTTATCTCATGGTTTCGTGGGTTTGAGCCCCATGTCCAGCTCTGTGCTGACAGTGTGGAGTTGGCTTGGATTCTATCTCTCTACCTCTCTCTCTGCTCCTCCCCTGCTCACACTGTCTCTCTCTCTCTCTCAAAAATAAATACTTAAAAAGAGGGTTTTTTTAATTTAAAAAATCTTAAAAAATTAAAATTAACCACGTGTAGTAATTTTATTCCCATCAACTGTTTATGAGAACGACTGCTTCTTTACACACCCCCACAAGGTATTACCAAACTTTCAAATCTCTGCTAATCTGCCAGGTGAAAAGTTGTTCGATATACCATCAATTTCGTTAGAAATTGAACAGTTTACTTATGTATTTTTCATTTTATTTCTTCTGTGAACTGCCTATTGTCTTTTTTTTTTTTTTTTCTGAAGAACGAACAGCCATTCATCTATTACTTAGGTTGCAAATATTCTTCCTAGTTGGTCATTTGTGGTTTGACTTTGGGCCACACAGGGGTGTTTAGTTTTTACCTAGTCAGATTGATTCATCTTTTCCCATGTGCCTTCAAAGTGCTTCAAATATTTAGAAAGGCCTTCTTCAAGAATCTTTTAAAATTCTCCCATATTTTCACCTGGAAGCGGCATTTTAAAATTCTTTTATATCTTTTATCAAACGGGTGCATGTGAATGCGTGTCACGCACCCTGAAAGGGGGTACGAAGGCCGATTCAACCTTTCCCAGGTGGCTAGCTGGGCGCACCATATTTATCACATGCTAAATCTTCTAGACGTCTTGAACGAGAGCCACAGGAGAAAAGGAGTCAAAAGGGAACCGGTAAAAGATTCTGCGGGAGCTGACTTGGCGCGCCCGCGGGCCCCTGCGGGAGAAAAGCGCCCCCAGGCGGCCGGCTTACCGGCCTGCGACCCTGGGAAAGCGGCGGAACGCAGGTGTGCGAGGGCTGGGAGCCGCCCGAGCCCGGCCTCGCAGGACTGTACGGCAGCGGGGGAGCGGTTTGGCGGGAGCACAGGGCCGCTCGGAGGGCCCCGCCGCCGCCGCGATGCTCCCCTCCTTGCAGGAGTCTCTGGATGGGGATGAAAAGGAGCTAGAGAGCAGCGAGGAGGGAGGTTCGGCCGAGGAACGAAGACTCGAGCCGCCGCCCAGCAGCCACTACTGCCTCTACGGCTACCGCGGAAGCAGGTGCAGCGCCCGGCCGTCCCTACGGCCCCGCCCGGGCCCCGCAGCCCGGCCCCGCAGCCCGGCCCTGGCGGCTCGAAGAGCCTTCTTCCCCTCGCCTAGCTTGAGTGTCTGGCCCTAAGGGCCCTCCTCGCTTCACGCCGTTCTTCCTGGCCACCGTCCTGCACTATCGTGCCCCTTCTAAGCCTCTGCGCTCCAGCTCGTCTCTGTCGTCTCCTCAGCCCCTTCCTGTAGGCCCTGCCTTTCGGCGCTTCGCAGGCTCAATAATGTCAATTTCCACCTCTGTCCTTCCTGTCATTATCGCCCATTTTCTTCCATTAACTCCACGCATCCCTCCTCCCCCTCGCCCTAACCTCTGATTATCCTCTGCCCTCGCCGCCTCTTATTTCCTCGGTTGGGGCAGACATCCCTGGGGCTCTCTGGGTGCTGTAAGAAATTTCTTTGACTCTTGTGCATTTTTTATTTAAACCTTGCCTCCACCCCTTAGACGGCCTGGAGAGAGAAGGGGCTCATGTCAACACTGTTTCATGGGGTTTCCCTGCCATGAGTATAGGCAGTGGAGGATCCATACACTTTTACCTTGCAGCATTTTTAGTTAACTGTTCACCCCCACCCTGCTTGCAGGGGCAGGGGCCATACTCCGCTTGAGTTATAGCCCATTATTGATAGCTGTATTGCTTTTGCCGTGTGCAGGTTGGCACAGCAGCGAGGGGACAGTGATGATGGAAGCCCAAGTGGCACAAATGCAGGAACTCCCTCTGGTGATGATTTCAGGTAAAAACAGCTTGGCCATAACCTGTGCGTGTGCAGTTATCTTCTGTGCATCTCTGTCCTGTAGATATCAGTGGGTACCCCGTTTCCATTCGGCTTTCCCGGGGTCAGACCATCAAGCTCACCACCTCCCCTGGGAACCTCATCTGGATTTCCTCATTCGTTCATTCATTCAAGGCTGGGCAGTTCCACATACTGGTGGTGCCCCTGGTGATTAGCCAGAGGCAATTAATCTTAGTTCCTTGATTGGAAACTGCATTAAAGATTCAATATCATATGGGTCTAAATAAATGTAAAATCCTCCTTCTCCCGCCTTTCAGTACCCTTTCAGAGCTTCTCTGCTATGCACTAGAATGTAAACTCCAGGAGATTATTATCTCTCTGGTTCATTGATGTCTCCCTGCCCAGCACCTAGGCAGGTACTAGGAGTAGTGGTACTAGGGTAGACATCTTTTTGGTTTATTTATTCTTGAAAGAGACAGAGAAAGTGCAAACAGGGGAGGGGCAGAGAGAGACAGAGAAGGGGAGAGAAAGAGAATCCCAAGCGAGATTCAGTGCAGAGCCCGACACGGGGCTCAATTCCACAAACCACAAGATGGTGACCTGGGCCAAAACCAAGAGTCAGACACTCAACCGACTGAGCCACCCAAGTGCCCTTAAGGTAGACATTTAATACCTATTTAATAAACAAATGGTTGAATGAATGAACCTTAACACTTGATGCAAAGTAGGGTATACTACAAAAATAGTTTTGCTGACTGGCTGAAGGATGGTTTAAGGAATTTTTCAGATGTTACAATAGTATTGTGGTATTGTGAAAAGGAGGTAAGGTCCATGGAGGGGATTCCAGTGGAGACCTAATATTAGAGAGATGGAGCGCCTGGGTGGCTCAGTTGGTTAAGCATCCGACTTCGGCTCAAGTCATGG